ACCGCTACAAGGCTTGAAGATTCCTTTAGTTCTGGTCTTCTGTTCACGGGGAGTCTCCAAAATATTTTGTTGGATAATATAGTTCTTGCAGCCCCTGTGTCTGCTGTGAACTCCACTCTTATCCCTTGAATCGTTCCCTGAACGTAAATTCCATCTGCCTTGAGGAGCTGTCTCCTAATGTACTCCCTCTGAGTACACAGTTCCTCTTCCCTTGAAACGTCCCTGACGCAAGGCTGGAATTTCCCCTGGTTTTCAATTTTCTCCCCCGACTCATCTAAATTTCCACTTAAAATAGGTTCAGTTAAAATTTTACAGTCATTTTGGCCTTTGTTACTTTGGGTCGTCTCTTGGCCTCCGGAGCTGACCCCTTCTAGTTTAAAAGCTCCTTCTCTCCTTCTCCGCAAGCCCTATCCAAGTCTACATGCCATCTAGATTGATGACTTGGTTGAAATTCTCGAGCATCAGGTGACATGGTACTCATAGCTTGGCTTTGGTTTTTCTTTGGCTGTTTATTCTTATTCTGTTGTGATGATGGAATGGTTTTCTTTGGGGTTTTCTTGTATTGTGGTCTCTCTGTCGTATAAAAGTTCCTGTTTGGGCACTCTCGGGCATAATGTCCGGGCATGTTGCATATGAAGCAATTCCCCTTTGTCATCTTCATGGAGTTAGTATTTCCTTTCCCAGGAAAGCGATTGTCTCCCTTCCCGTATGGCTTTGCCTGTCTTATAGGGCGACTCTCCTCATTTGCGGTTGAATTGGAGGTGACTGACACATAGGCAGCTACCTGCTGTACTGCCTCTTCGATTGTTGACGGTTCTTTGTGTAATTCAATGTACTGCCTTGCCTTAGAATCCCATAACCCTTGCAAAAATTTTGAAATTAAGTCTTCCTGTCTGGTGCTGGCATCTCTACTCGGGTGAGCCCAGTCATAAAGACGCTTAATGTCAGCAGCATACTCTTCAAGACTTTCATCTTTCCCTTGCCTTTTGTTGTTGAATTGGGTTTTGTAGACTCTCTTATTTTCTAGTGTTCCAAATCTTGATCCTATTTCTGCGACTAAAGTCTCGTAGCTCCCTATAGTCTCCTCCTTCAGCTGACCAAAAACAAAATCAGCTGCAATTCCCTGTATTCTTGGTAATATCTGTTGTAACTTCTCTTTATCAGTCCACTTGGCTAACTCAGCTACGGACTCAAACCGATTTAGCCAAACTCTCCATTTCTCGGAACCTGTGTAAGGCGGAAGCTTACAGTCAAGCTTGTGGCTATCTGACTTCTTGGACTCGAACAAATCCCTTGTGGCGACTGAGTTGACAGATTGCTCATTTTCAGACTGTTCTGAATCTTTATTTGATTCCTCGTGATTGCTTTCCTTATTTTCTGTCTCTGACTTGTTATTGTTTGAGTTGATTCTTGATATTTTAGGTTTCAGCTTGATGTTTGTTATATGGCTGTTCACTTGTCCGAGATTTCGGGTAGTCGCTTCCATCATATCCTGCATGACTTTCATTGTCTGGTTGCTTACTTGTCTGAGAGTTTGAGTAGTTGCTTCCATCATATTCTGCATGGCTTTCATTGTCTGGGTCATCTGTTCCATCATTATCTTCATAGGGTCTGTGACAGAATTATTCTGTGTTGACTGTGTGACTGGTTCTGACAGTTCTGTGTCTGTAGGGATTATCTCCCTTTGCTGACGTACAGTCCTTTTGGATCTTCTTATTTTGCGTATAGGGGTTGATATTCTAGCCTGAATATCTGAGTCATCTTCATCCTCTGTAGAGTTGTCATTGTTGGACATGCTCTGTTCCCCTCGGAGTGATCTGTTTAATGCGGACGGCGATAAATCTATGAGGAGTTCCTCATCTGTGGATTGTCCTCTGGAATGTCCAGGATTAACGGATGGCTCCATCCTAGTCTTGGATCTGGTATAGTACCTATGCATGGATTTTTCTCAACACTGGTTCTGGGTTACGTATCTCTGGATCCACCGATGTACTTGGCAGATCCCACCGCTGCCACCAAATGTAACGGACCTGAGCTGTTTGGATCTCACGCACAAGTACTCCTTAGAAGCCTACACGGGAATAACCCATGTAGTACTGTGATTATTTCCGAGAATAACCCGTAAATAAAGATCTCCTATAATAACACAAGAATAACCTGTGTTTGGACTCGTAAATAACTACGGGGAAGTTAAATGATAAGCCTTATTTAAAGTTTACAAATTTATTCAATAAATAAAAGTCACAATATGTATTAATTAATATTCAATTACAATAAAATTCAATGGAAGTCGGGAATCACCCAAATTCACAATGAAATACTACACTAACACAACCTTCGTATTACGTTAATACGATAAAGGGGGGGGGGGGGCGCACTAAACGAGAATGACCCGAATAGTGAGTAATAAATACTATAGAAATACCTTAGAATAACCAAAGTATTTCTGAAAGAATCTACACAATCTATAAAAGCTATTTAAAGCAAGAAATTTATCTCTATAATTTCTATATCAAATCCTAGCCTTAATTCCTGCTTGAATATTCCAATAAACGCAACTAGATTATCACTTTAAATTGATTGAATTCCTAAATTCTATCAAAGATAAACAATTATTTACACGGAAAGACTTCAAGACTCACTTTCAGTCAAACCGTAACAAAATTATTTAATCGTTTAATATCGAGATTAACCCAATATAAACGTCCTACGATAAATACTAGTAATTAATAGTGAAACGAGATTAACCCGTATTCACTATAAGAAAAATTGATGAATTAATTCAAAAATTACTAAATTCCTAATGAAAAATGCTAAGAATCAAATAAACAACCGCTAACCTCAAAATCTAAATACCGAGTCCCACCGGCAGTTCTTATCCTCTGCTTTTATAGCTCTGGAGAGTCCCCCCGGAGACCCACGCGCTTCCCTAGGGACGACCGGCAGATCTCCGGTATCACCGGCAGTCACCGGCAGCCACCGGCAATAATCATTGTCAAAATATGTTTAACAATAACAATAAATAATCAACATAAAAATATGACAATCATAATGTAAAACATTTATACAATATGACAATATCCCCTAAGTATTAGATTTCGATAAAAATGCTTAGTACAGAGAAATTACAATTAGAATCGGGCGTGATATTCCACAAAATAATCAACATGATGGCGGTATCTATAAATAAAGTTACAGAATCAGAAACGATAATTACAACTAATTCAGCTTATTACAATACTGATATTAATCCAGGATAATAAAATTAGAATCATCAGATCATGTTCTTCTAGAAACGTAAGTACAGTGAATCAATAATAAGAAATGTAACCGATTATGCGATCTACAAATGGGGGAAAGTACAATGTACAAACAGGGTAACACGAATCCTATATAAAACAATCGGCATCATTGTCACAATCGTGACATATTCATATACCACGGACATTTGTCAGTGCACTTCAATTTCAACGTAGCAAAACCAAATGCACAAAGCGAGCAATTAAAAAAAAATCAGCATAAACCGAAGACTTTAACATTGCTTAAATCTGGAGATCTTTGGTGTATTTGTCCAAATGTTCTCAACACGAGTGCTACATTTCTGCAGCTACTTGGAAAATTGTACATGAGGGATCTGTATATCTTATATATATATAAAACCACTGTTCATTCTTTTTTCATTCAATTATATTCAGGTAAAAATATCGCAGATTTAGAATATCATGATTACACACATTTAAAACATTACAGAATAGCCAACTAATAGGTAAAAAACCGACATTATCTAAGTACTAGACTGAGATCTCCAGATATTTTTTTCGTTATTTCCAGATCATAACAAGGAGCATAACCAGAAGCCGGTCGTGTCCGGTAGGCAGAGGTTGCTTACTCGTACATGGTACCTGATCCCACCTCTGATAGTTATGAGGTAAATGTTACTCTGCTCCTATTTTTATTGTTTAATGGACTTTTGAGCTTGAATACTGATCGTTATCCCAACATTTCATAACACACAGGTAATAAGTAATACCGAAGGATAGTCCATAAAACCTTTTTTTTTTTAAAAAAAAAAAAAAAGGCTTATGTCCAATGGGGTCTTTAATTCCTTTGGGGTATTTCTAATCTAATGCTATATTATTTAATTTACAAAATGATGTATTTGTATATTGATTGAACATGTATGTTCACCATAATAAAATAAATCTTTATGATAGCTATTTCTCCTGGTTTTTTTTTTTTTTTTTTTTGTGAAGCAAGAGAAGAAATACAGGTTAAATGTTAAATAATCCCTGGGAGAAATGCTTCTGCAGCAACATAAAACTACTGTAAACCAACTTTTATTCTCGTACGAGAAATTTTCGCCAGGTTCGCGATAGCGTCATCGTGAATATTTTTTCCCGCGAACAGGTCCTTAAATTCTCTGTGTCTATTAACACCAGATTCAAAAGGCTTGATAGCGAAAATTAACTGTCGCAAACAAGATAATCCCCGGTAAATCGCGAAATAAAGTTGTCGCGAATAAAAGCTGGTTTCAGTATTTTATTCTCTCAAAATTTTTCTTAGTTGCAACTCATGGGATAATTAAGTTATACAGTTAAAAGAAGGACAGTTAAATGCTAAGTGAATTGCAATATGAAACAATTGAAAACAGGTAGTGGCGATGATAACTAAAATAAAGAAACCTGTATTGCAAAATTACAGAGTAAAATGTAGAAAGCTGAAGTAATATGCAGGAGGAGGCAGAAATACTATTTTATAGACAGGTATCTACCTTTTTATACCTAGTGAAAAACACGTACTTATTATATACCTTTACATATTATCGAAATATTTGGAGATAACAAACAGAATTCAAGACCAAAAGTCCATAAAACAATACAAAATAGGAGCAGAGCAAACACGGACCTCTAAAACATTAGAGATAGGATCAGGTGCCATAGAGGAGTGAGCTTAGAAAAAAAAAAAAGAAAAAGAAAACATATTTCGTTTTCATGTTTAATTTCCGAATCCCCTGAGTCCACCTTATCTTCCGCCAGGGATAAGGTTATCAAATGGACAGTGACATTCCCCGTCTACACAATGTTGGTCACCGAAGGCCAGACAGTGATCTGTACAGTCAGAGGCTGATGTGCATGCTGAGAAAGAAAGACACAGAAATAACAATATAGATATAAATGATGACCTCATATACAGCCAAATCAAATACTTGGACCAGAGTAAATTCGGTACAATACATAATTTTACTTGATTTTACTAATTCCTTATTTAGATACCATTGGAACATCAATTTTCATTCATTTAGTCGACAGTTATTATATACATACCAGTATAACACAAGCGTTTAAATTATATACTTTTTGGATACTTACATCTGTGATTGAATGTTACCTTTTCCTGTGTTGTGAGTACAGGTACATTGTCCTAGAACGCAGTGTGGGGCGCCATCTGAACAGGAGACTGTGGTACACTCATGATGGAAAAATGTACATCTTTCAGAGGCAACTGGAGTGTGAAGTAGTGGTATAAATAAACAAATTTCCAATATATTACTTTAAATTAATGTATTGCACATTATAAGCCTTAATGAAAAATGACTTAAGACAGTAACTTACTGATCTAATCGTCAGATGTTGTTTTCTTTACACATAAGGGCATGTTTTAATTGCAAGAGGACTGAAAGAATAGGTCTGAACTTTTTCTTTCTTATATCTGGATTCATCGTCTGAACAAGATATATCAAATTCTTTTTTTTTGTCTACTAGGTAACTGATTTTATATTGAATTTTTTTTACATATTCATTTAAAGACAAAATCTTATCCATAAATGTTTGATTTTGTTTAATCTTTCGGTCGTACACATTTGGGAATTTTATTTCTATACGGACTTAAAAATTTACACAAAAAAGTGAAGGAGGTATTAATTCTTATACATAGACCTTAAAATAATTAACTCACCAGCTACGACAAGAAGAGTAATACACAAGATTGTAGCCTTCATGATTATCAAGTAATATAGATAAGAGGACGCAATTTCACAATATATACTAACTAATGTACGTATCAGCGCATGCGCTTTTAATGATCCATTTGAGTATTTGGTACTTTTAAGGTACAAATATGTTACCTTTTTCATATTTTAAAAATTCACTTAGTGTCAAGAAATGTGTTTTGAAATTGGTTGTTCATGTGAAAGAGGATTCTTGGAAATGGTCAGTTGAACTGGATTTGTGTAACTTATTCTCGATGAATTAAGAAATTATTAAGATGAAATACTTTAACACATCTCTTAATAAAAGGTTTCGTTTCACAACTGACAGTAAGTGATATGCAGTCAAACAGTATAATTTCGTACAATTCTCTATTATCCTTAGACTCTCAGTAATGCGTGGTAATTAGCTTTTTCTCAAAAGATGATCTGAATTCTCTATGGTTGTTAGACTATCATTATTTATAACAACACAAACGAGTTTTTGTTAGGCTTGAAACACATTAGAATCATGAAAAGCAAGTTTAAACCTGAATGGGCAACATATACTTTGTAATATGTAAGTTGCATAGAATTCGGGTTCGCAGCAACTCTTTTAAAAATAAAGTGGGTTAAAAGAGAGACTAACCCCCAAGTACAGCTACTTAATTTAGTTAATATACTTAATACTTAATATTTAGATACCAACACTATATTAAAAATAATTTTTCAAAAGCATCTCTACAGTAAATACAGCCCCATTTTACACTATTTTCACTATAAGGCTAGAGTGTTGTCTAATCGTCATTTTTTAAATTAAATTGAAATCCGGTCAAATAACGAGCACAACAAGCTGCAATTTACACAGCCTTTCAATCACAGTTGAAATAAACGTGGGGTAGAAAATTCGGGTGGATGAGAATGTAGCATGGATCTAATGGCAGCGTTTCGGATGGAAAAGAAGTGGGCTAACGTCATCTCATAGTTGTAAAAAAAAATTAAAGTTGCTGATGTTGGTAATTTCTTCACCAAGAAAATCTAAGTCATCATTTGAAATTTATGTTGAATGCCACGCCTTACTGAAAGTCCAAGGATAACAGAGAAAATGTGAACTTTTTTAGAGATCTATTCCTTATTTGTTCAATATTTTTATTTTAAGATCAGAATAAAGAAATGTAAATGAATTGAAAACCTCAAAAAAATGTACAGATATGACAAAATGTTGGATCCTAATTTTTTGTCAGCTTAGTTTTTGTTTGAGAGTTATTTTTTGCTTGTCGTGCTTTTAGAAGATGCATCTCCTCTTTCCAAATCATTGCAATGGGTCTGCTCTATAATTGGGTCAAGGTAAGTCATAATGGTTATCTACGATAAGTTGACAATTTCGGTTCATCTCTTAATTGTCGTGTTCATACAGTAATATATGTCATGAAACTATCTATTTCTGATTACTTACTGAATTTCAATTTATATCTATAGTTTCTATTTTTCAGGGACTTTGTGAGACATTATTTCGCTTTGCTTAGAATTTAAATGTGTAAGCATTACATTTAAGAGTATTTGAAGATCATTAGGGTATATTAAAAATATTGCTCAGATAATTTATACACGATTTTTTTCAAAATTTCAAGGAAAGGCTTAGCAATAGTACTTACTCTTATAAGTGTAAGTCAGTATATGCACAAGTGCTTTGAAGCCCAATCAATATATATTCATATTCATGTACAAACAGATATGCAAGAACATTGTTTTTCCTTTTGCTTCAGTTAGAAAATATTAAACATAAATTTAACATAACACATAATTTGATGTATCTTAAGGGCTGTGTACATCATACAAATTGAAGCATTTGGACTTTGGTGAGTAAAGATAAATTTGAGTTTAAAAGACTGGTACGATGGAGTAGCCTATGATCTCTGCAACTTTTTTAGCGTAGTTTAATACAGGGTTGGATACTTAAAATAGAAGACACCACAGAGTATGACACATCTGTTTCATATTTGTATCTTTTTTTTTAAAGAAAAAACATAAATGCTATTCTAAAAACCAGGTTAAGAAATCTGATGATCTGCTTTGAATATAAGATTAATACCACTTTGTACGGCAAACAGTGATGCAAACTCTGGATCTTCTGTGCATATATATAACAAGAATAAAAATATCAATCAGACCTGGATGGCTGAAGTTCAAAACAAGCCTGTGAACATTGAATGGAATTATTAAATACGAGTTAAGAAGCTAGACTGGCTGAAGGAATGTGAGCTCAATTTGGTTATGATTAAAAATCACCTAACCAAATTCATTTTGTAGTTCAAAAAGAGGTAATGGATTTGGGGTTGTGTGAATTTCAAGAATAGCGTAGGAACTTGAAAAAATATTGCAAAATATTAGAAACGTTGGAGAACTAAGTAATTATGAGATTTCAGCAAGCTTGTATTTTTAAAAGAATCAAACCTATATCCCCCGAAAACCTGAAGTTGCTTCTTACAGGGTCAGGTGCCTGGTGATTAAAACACCAAATCATAGAGTAAAATTTAACCTAAAATTTAAATGAATGACTAAAACGAGTGTATTCAAACTGAAATTTAGATAAAAATAATTCTTATGAACTTTGATAAAATCGTTTGTAAGATGAGAACCAAGTAGACTGAGATTCATACAATAGATATCACTTGATTAAGATTTATATAGACCATGTTTATCTGCAGCAATTTTCAATTATCTTTCATTTAATGTTAGATCTACCCGATACCTAACTGATGAATGAGCTTACGTAGGTCAAATAACATTATCTCATGTTACAATCTAACAATAAAAAATCATTTTTGTTCATATATTTTTCGTTTTCAATATTTTCAGATCTTTGGACGTAGTGAAAACCATTTGCTTGAACGTAACATTTGTTTCTATATATCAATTTGAAAAATTAAATTGAGAAACGTTCCATTTATCGAGCTCTCTAGAACACTGGAAAAGAACTGGAACATACATAATCTCAACTCATTATAGCGCAAGAATAACTCGAACATAGCCTTTTCATATTATAGCACAAAAATAGCAACATCTGTCTTATATTAAACAAAATGAGAGTATGTTCTTGTAAATGCCGAGATTACTTTGAATACAGTAATATTTTCAATAAAGTGATATTTCTAATTTTAGAAAAAAAATTAAATTTTATTTATTTGCGGGGAATTAGTAATCATGATATCATATCCAGAAAATGTTAAATTCCCATCTGCCTAACTTTTCATCATTTTTCATCAATGAAAAAAAAAATCCCTTTAATCTGATATTTTATCCAGGTATTTCTGACACTTTTTGTATCGACAACCTTTAAGCTCATCGTTGTTTGATGTGAAACCTTTCGGAGTGTAAATGAATATAGATTTCAAATTATTTCTCCGATTCCAACTACACAAATTAATTTACAGTGTATTTAGTCAGCTTAAAACGAACGAGGATGCATTACGTCATGGAAAAAACTATATCACTCTTGTTTTTTTCCCAAAGAAAGTTTTTTTTCCAAAGAGACACATGTAATGTACATATACGAATTTTGTGACTTATAATACATGAATAAAGGATATGGATATAAAGAACAGTATTCAATATCAAAGTCCATAAAAACAATACAAAATAGGAGCAGAGCAAACACGGACCTCCAAAACTCAGAGGTGGGAACAGGTGCCATTGAGGAGTGAGCATCCCCTGCTGACCGGTCACACCCACCGTGTGTTTCTTGTCATGATCGGGAAAAAACGGAAAATCTGTCGTCAGTTCAGTGTATAGATAATGAACTAACAATTGGTATGAAAAAATGTCAGTCAGCATTTGATTCAATGATAAATTTTACCTACTGACAAGGTCATTGTATCGACATAGAACTTGATATTCTATAAAAAGATATTCTTGTTTCATCAACTTGATTGTCAATAATTTATATCAGTATAGAAATTGAACTTACGTAGAACATGCTCTTGTGTATCAAATCAACTGAGAAATATAATCTACGTATGCAGGTGATGAAGGTATATTGCTGCATTAGTAAGGGAAGTTGACGATAGAAAAGTTAATGTCATCACGTTTATCATAGAGCTTGGTTGTTAGATTACCATTAGCGTCTTTTTCAAACAAAATACACAAATATGAAACAGATGTGTCAGACTCTGTGGTATCTTTTATCTCAAGCTCACCAGGATATATCGTATCGATATAGGAATGGAAATGACCATTGTTAATTTACAATACCTCGTCGATATATCTAAATGTCGAATTGAAGGCCACAGCAAGTGCTTTCTTCTCTTCACATAAAAGATTTTGTATGAATTCTGCTTCATATGAATACCAAAAATTGGACTGCTAAATGGAAGACCTAGTCTCCAAAAACTACATAGGTATTGTCAATCAGAAGCTCAAGCATCTTTTTTGAGTAGTTTTTTTTTATTTTTGTTTAGTGAACCCAATTATTGAAAACAGTTCATAAAACCTCTAAATTTCATTACAAAATACATTTTTTTATGCTCACTCCTCCATGGCAAAGGGTCCCACCTCTGATGTGTTGGAGGTCCGTTTGTGCTCTGCTCCTCTTTTGTACTTTTTTTTACTTTTGAGCTTCAATACTGTTAGTTATCTCCATATATTATATAAATGAAGGAAAAAGTACACATAAAACACTACAAGGTCTTCCACGAAGAAAAAAAAGATCTGACATGTTACTAGATGAGACCTAAAAACAAATTTATCTTTACTAGTCATAACTATAAAGTAACATTATTAAAACCCGGTAAATTTTATTTCAAAAATACATTCTTATAAAATAACTAACTACTGGTGTTGTTTATCTTCCGCCAGGAATCAAGTTATCAAATGGGCAATGGCACTCCCCATCTACGCAGTGTTGGTCACCGAAGGCCAGACAATGTTCTGTACAGTCAGAGGCTGATGTGCATGCTGGAATTAAAAAAAAAAAAGAAATGTTTTAATAATGTATCCACAATCACAGCAAAAATATAGTCATAAGTACGCAGTATTAGTATATATCTATATATATCTATTTGAATTGATTGTAAGCTTTAGATTATGCAAGCAAGATATCCCTCCAGTTCTTTTTAACTTTTAACAATACTTGTACATCATTATATTATATGTAGAGCGAAAAAAGGAGGGAAACTATTGTTACGTACATTGTTGAAGAGGCAGTGCAAGATCTAAGGTAGTTTTATACCAAATGGCATTAAAATGGGTTTCAAAATGAGAAGGAGAAAGGAGAGATATAATATAAAAGGATGACTTGATTTGTGTCTTGGAGACTACTTTTATTTCGTGCCTAGGCTAAGGGTTCTAGGACCAAAGCCTGGATTTTTTTTTATAAGGGAGAAATGATAGATATCTGTGACTTATCTAAACAGGGAGTTAGCTGACCTTGTACTCTAGCTGGTGTCAAAAGTTTTCAAGTTCTTAAGACATTTTTTACTGGAAAACTAAACACAACACTTAATGAAATCCTTTCACTGTATAAATAATATTTCTTTTCAATATTAGGGTTTTTAGGTTAAACCAAAATACAGATTAAACTTTTCACATAAATGCATTCAGTAGAGAATTTTTAAGATTTATTTGAAATAATCAGGTCTGTTCTATAGACATTTATAAATATTTTTGAATGTCATAAAACAAAAATACAAATACTGTTGTAATATTGGACTCCAACTGCGTTCTATTTTTTCTCTCTAAATCTGTTTATCTGGAATATGCTTACTATATGCTTGACAAATGAGTCGTAACCTTTAAAAAGCCTCACCTTTGAATGTATTGTGTGTACATCTACACTGGCCTAAAACACAGTGAGGAGCACCGTCTGTGCAGGTGGTCCCACTACATTCATGGTGGAAAAATGTACACCTCTCAGATGCAACTGTGTTATACAAAAACTATATACAATGTTCATTTAGTAATAAAAAAAAAATTGGGAAAAAATGAAAATTATATGACGAGGATTCATTCCAAAAGTATCTTAGTAACTGCCATTGAAACTTTCAAATGCTAATGTTTTAATTAAACATATACCTCCTTATATACCTCTGCGTAATTTCACATTGCGCTTTAAATTTTATTTACTTTTATATTATAAAATACCTTGTATTTAAATGTGCATGAATAAGCTATAGATGAAATACAAGTATAAACAAAAGGCTAGGCTTTTTATTGAGGTGCGGAAAGTAAGTAACCGTTACGTCCTAGAGCTTGGTTCCTGATTACTGTAAACCAACTTGTTTTCACGTGCCGAAATTATCAGAGAGTTGTCCGACCTAATTTAATTATAGGTATTTACAGAATTCATGTATCTTATGAGCCTCTGACTTTTGAACTGACTTTACTCCACCCTTAACGAACTTTTAAAACTACTAAGGGAAATAGTTAAGCCTATAAAGATACTAAAGTTGCATGAAATACCAATTTGAATAAAGGCAAAAGATTGACCGGTTTAAAGCGGAAGAAAGTGCATGGAGGATCGGTGTTTGATATCATTTCCAGTTTGATTCTAATTTAAATTAGGCTAGATCTACGTGACAATGTATTCACAGCGAAGTGAATAAGCGAATACAATAAGTTAAAGTTAACAATTCATGAAAGATTCCATATATTTGCGTCGGAGAAATTGAAAAAGGAACCAAAGAAGAAACGCCTTTAGAATGATATGTTGTTGTATTCTTGTCGTGTGGAAATAGATTAAAACAAAAGATTTATTTATTTCAACATATGTGAACATCTTTGCATAAATTTGAATGAAATAAAAAAGGTTAAAAACACAAATTATAGAGATATTAGTCAAGAAAGTTATATTTTAGAGTAGATTTATACAACATAGGTTTTCAATTGTACATTGCCCGCCTTGCTTTTTTTCTATCTTTTCTTTTTACAAGACAAATGATAATTATCAAATAATTCAAATTATATAATATGAGACTCACCAGCTACAATAAGAAGAGTTATACACAAGATCGTGGCCTTCATATTGCTTAAGTTTACTAAGATATAAAGATAAGAGTGCGCATATTTCATTATATATACCTACTGATATGTACAGTACCTCAACGCATGCGCTTTTTTATTTATGTACGTCATCATAAGTAATATAGAACTTCGTGATTAGTTCATATCTTAATCAATCCTCTATGGCACCTGATCCCATCTCTGATGTTTTGGAGGTCCGTATTTTGTAATGTTTAATTGCCTTTTGAGCTCAAATACTGTTCGTTATCAACAATGCAGCTTTCAAAAAGTTTTCGTCATAGTCATTTTTTTTAATGAAAATGTTATCTTTCTGTTACTTGTTATGCTTTTTTAAAAAGATTTTTATTTGGTTACTTGTTTATAATTAAAATTGTTCAAATGCATGAGAAATTCCTCTGTTTGTTGAAATAATCTTCGATAAACAATAAAAACACAACTGATATTTACGAACAGAATGTTGCTGTCAATTAAATTTAGTACTGTCATTATGCCACAATTTTCTTTCCGATAAAACAATGATTGTATTGCTAGTAAAATGGGTCAAAGTAAATCAATCTACAGTACTACTATCCAAGGTTATCTGGGGTCATTGGACGGTTTCCGCGTGTCTGTTTATTATCGTGTTAATACAATGATTTATGTCATGAAGACATTTATTTCAGTTTTTATTTACTGTAATCCGTATCTCTATGTTTAGGATTTTGAAAAAAAATATTTTTTGGATATTTATTCTTAAGTATTTCATATACACAGAAAGAAAAAGATACGACAATCCAGGATATTCCTTTTTGCAAATTTCAGTAAATAAAATGTTAAAGAAGGCAAGAGGCAATAATTTTTGATTTAATTTCTCATTTAACATCACAAATACTCAGAGCTTAAATACATGTACATATAAGATAAAAAAAAAATATCGCTGTCATATACATGAAATTCAAATCTGTACTTTAATTGAAAGCTGTACTTTATATAGGATTTTCGATAGTGAATTACAGAAAAAAATACGAGTAATAGCGGATCTTCTTCTACATTGTGAATAGATAGGGCAGTTTTATTGGATGTACTGCCTAGTACCTTTATTATTTGAATTTAAGAAACTGGAAAAATATTCAAGTGACATTAAAGAGCAAGAGCCATCTTATGCATAAAATGGCCCTGTACTTATATCAATTAATTAACTATCACCCTATTTCCCATTTCATATATCAAAATAAAGCAGACGCTTTGTGCTTTCATTTTCTATTAAAAAAATCGTTTTGAGAATCCAGATATTGGAAAACAGGTTTGAGAAATTGCAATCTTCTTGAAATTTGCAGAAAACATGCCTATTTGACTACCTTCGGCGAAGAATTAAAATATGAGCACAGCCCACGATCCAAAAAATAAAACGTTTTTTTTTATCTTCAGAAACAGAGCTTTCATTATGTATTTGCATATTTTGGATCAGAGGTTGTGCACTATATGAAATATTGAAAAAATGCTTCAATTTTAGGTCATTTTAAAAGGAATTTACAGGATATGAGGAAAATGACGCATTTTATGACGTCATAATGCATTGACTAGATAAGAAATTACGTCATAATTAATAGATACGTGGTCACCAACACTTCAAGTGATAAATACTGCATTTGCAACCTAAACTGAGCGGTTTTGATTTTTCAGAAATTCTCAGGGCCAAATAAGGCCTAAAGTGGCTCTTGCTCTTTGCATCTCTAATTGTTTGTTTGTTTGGTTGTTTTTATATGTTATGTTGAAATGGAATATGCTGATACCGCCAAACTTGCAAATCAATATAAAGTGCATTATATTAATTCGTTAAAAATTTGTAAACTTGAATAATAAACATTTACATCTAATTTCATACATGTCTTTATGAGAATGGATTATGATGCATACAAACCCAACAGCAACCAAAGGAAACTTTTTTACCCACGAATGACGTAAACGATAGTAAAATCAAACAAAAAGCAATTGATCCACATATGTAGTTCAATGTGTTATAAGCAGCCATACTAACTTTCTGAAAACTGTCTAAAACTAAACAATTTTAAAAGTACACTTAAATCTTGAATGAAATTCTTTGTCGTATTGTTCGTAGTGACATATGCTTTTGTCCATACAATTACAAACAGATACATTAAGTATTTGGTGTACGATAGTACAGTACATAATTATTCAATTAATTTTCTAAGTAATTCAAGTCCTTAACAATAACTTATGTGTACATGCATCTGTTATGAAATATGTATGCATCCATAAATATACTATAATGAAGAATTTTGAGTGCATGTAATTCACCATTTTTCTAAAAGCAGGTTTTAAATCATTCTGAAGAAAAGTCCATATATCAAGATCAAAGATGTTAATAAAAAGAATCCAAACTACCAGACTTGGCCATTGATTAATATAGCAAATTGTTCCTTAATATTTTTTTTTTTAATTCAGATTTTAAGATTGTTCATACTGTACCTTTCAAATTCAGGAAAATTAACTTAAAATGGCGACCCGAGGCTCTTTAAAATTTATGAAAAACATTTGAAAATCTTAGTGAAGCCTTAATTTCGACAAAAATCTGCCCCTTAATGTCCTTTTTGATGGACAAAGTACAATGTACCTTCTATAGTAATATTAAGACATGGTTTACAAAATATGATGTGATAAATGAATACTCACCTGCGCTGGAGTTTTTATATAATTTCAACTTAGATAAACGTAGGATACTTAGCAGAATACTGTGTGCACTGAACAAGGAAGTCAGGTTCTGAATACTCTGGAAATATTCCATGTGAATATTTTAAAAGACGTTCATTGATTGTGGATGACAGCCTGTGTTTCAGGACTTCATATTCCTTATTCATATTTAAGTTACATGGAGAACAGATTTTCTAAAATATCGTACATATTTCTTTATACAATTGATCAATTTTTCTGTCAACTTTGAATAAAATGTAACGCTGTTTTATTGACTTAGTTCTAAGAAAATGCTTTTTCTTTGACCCAAGATCCAAACAGGTTGACAGTGGCCGTTAGAACGATGACGAACTGTTTGCATAGAGGTTCGACAAACGCATTTTGTCCGATCACACAGCTAAATAATATATTGTTAAATGTATTGTCACCTTTATACTCTTTTTTATTTTGATACACGTTGCACTGGCTTCCATGTTTGCGATAATTTTTATGGTATTACTGATCCTGCCGTCGATTCGATGTAGCCAAAACGTCATAGAGTCGAATATTTCATTGACAAGTTTAATGTTTAACTCAACAGTCCATCATTGTATTAGTTCTTGTTCAGAAAAAGAAATTAAAATGTCAGACATTTTAAGTAAAAAATTCGTATTGGAAACAGTTCTAATGTATAACGATCATTTTTGAAAAAGTATTTTCTTTTTTTGTAAACCTTTAAATTTATTTGGAGATTCGATATAAATTATACATCTACTCGATGAACTTACATGTATATGTTTTCAAGCCCGGTTATTAACACTGTGAAATCAGTATAATGAATAACTCTTTTGTTTCAACCCTTTACATCAATATAGGGGAAAAGAGATACGTTGTGTTTTGCATTCAGCTTATGTTTGCCGGAATTTACGTCAACGGCTATAAAGGATAAACAATATAAATTATAGGGATAAAATGTTTGCTTACTTTCAGTATTGGTTTGATGATAATAACGTTTATCTACAAAAGACGGTAAGCTTAAAATTTAATAAGATATTCATTATCCTAATAAGAGTTGGATAAGAATTATGCAAAAGATGTACTTATATAATTACATTTACTTAGATTTAGTAACCAAATCGCCTATAAGCAAAGTTTACGTATACAACAGACAGCTTTCACGAATTTACTTTGCCTGTTCCTCCGTTAATGTTGCTTTTTCATTCCCGTAAATTTTGTACTGTCTTTTCTTTTTGGGGTTAGAATCCATATCAAGTGCAAGTAATGTTTGAAGTTATTTCATTTCAAATTGTTTTTCTGACGGCTCTTTTTTAATCATATGTGAAAAATCAGATATTTTTTAGACTTAACTTGTCATGTTTATATCCGTACTTTGTTTTAATTAAATGTGAAAAATTGTGGCAAAATTTTTCTATATGGTTACATGTACGTGTAAAATAAGATTGGGGTTATATTTGGCAAACGGTATGTTAAAATGGATATAATAAAAAAAAAAAAAAGATGTCATAAAACACATTTTTTCGTTTTCATTTACTCAGAACTTAGACTATAATATATTTATTTAAGGAATGAAGCTTATTTCCACTTCACCCCAAGTTATGTTATATCGAATAACATAAGGTGAAATAATCTTCATTCCTTCGAATTTAATTTCAATGTAGACAATTAGACCATTTTTCTATTTTTTCCTTCGAAAAAAGCTTCAAATATCGAGTAAGTTAACGTCAAGCGGAGTAATACGTTTTTGACGTAACTCATTGTGACGTAAGCAAGTTATTTTATACAAAATGGATAAAACCGTTTAACCAATCAAATTACGTGTTACAATAAAATTAAATCATTTAAATGTGAAAAAATCGTGGCGGATTTTTTCCATATGGTTACGTATAAAATAAGATTGGGGTTATATTTGGCAGACTGTATGGTAAAATGGATATGATATTAAAAAAATGTCATAAAACACATAATTTTATTTTCGTTTTCATTTATCCAGAGCTTGGACTATAATATAATTATGATAAATGTCATATACACTTTCAAGCACAAGGCATATATTTCAAAAGCAAACTACCAACGTTCCTCAGTTATATAGTAAATCCTCAAACATTTTTCCTTAGAATTTCATGCCAGCACAGCATACATGTTGCGCTACCGTTAAATGTTTCATACTCCTTTCCCCTCACTGTCCGCTAAATGTTTAATTATTACCTTCGAAACATTTTTATAAGTCAAAAATCAAGAGAACAAATGTTAATTTGTGTTTGTTTGTATGTTATTAGACTTCCCTCTCGAGAATTATTCACTCATATGAAAACCCCAGCACTTCACTGTGCACTTGCCAGTGAAGAGCTGTAAATTTTGTCCATTCGGCACTTACGGCGATTGAGCAGGGAGGGATCTTTTTTGTGCCAGCGCATACTGCGACACGGGACCTCGGTTAACACGGTGTCATACGAAGCACCGGTATCAATGTCCCACTGTGGGATTCGAATCGGCGACGAATTAGGTACAACTTCTTACTTCGCGACCCTTGAGCAGACGCTTAAACCATTCTGCCACGGAAGAGAAGAATTGACAAAACAACCATAAGATAACAAATGCATCAGAAAGCAACCCTTTGTTCATGATCCAACAAAAAAATCTAACGGAGGAAAAACTTATTTAAGGAAAGTTTTCAAGTACTTGTGCAATGTGAGTTTCCTAGAATCAATATGAGACACCATTATAAGATAAACAAAAAATAATAACTTACTGGGAAATGTGAAAACGTTTAGAGTGCAGTTTGTAATCTGTCTAAAACAAGTTAAAATTTCTCCATTCAGGATAGTACCAAAAAGACAAACAGCATATTTCATACCTTTTTTTCAATATCATATTATCATCATTTCGTTTTCAACAAAGCAAGTAAGCTTAGTCGCGTATGTAGTTCAGATGATTGCATAACCTAGAAGTGAGCATGAAATTGTATTGACACATATGAAAAAGACAGTCTGTCGAGGTGTCCATTATGTCAAATATTTGCAGACAACATGTTTTATGTTCCTTCTTTTAGGTTTAATAAGTGGCGAAGTGGTTAGAGCGTCTGCTCTAAAGTCGCGAAATAAGGAGTCGATCTTACGCCACGGGTTCAAATCCCACTGTGGGACGTGGAGACTGAATGAAATCGAATAAACCGAGGTGCAGTGTCGCAGTGCTGGCACGTGAAAATTCCCCCTGCTCAATTGCCCTCAGCACCGAGTATAGCTCTCAACCAGCAAGTGCTGGCGTTTAAATATGAATGAAAAATTCTCTCAAGGGAGACGATAAAAAATAAAATAATCATACTTTCAGTTAAGTTTGACAACAAATGGAGTGTACTGAAATGGCTATTGGAATTATTATATTCTGTTTCTTGCAAGAATGTTTTGGACTTTCTGTAGATATGGAAAAAGAGTTTAATTCAAAGCTGACACGATAGAAAATGATGACTTTTTTCATAAAAAATACCTATAGAAGGTTTAATGTTGGTGTGCAAAAGAGTAGTTTGATGGTGCTAAATAATATTCAGGAAAAAAATATTTCAAAAGACATAATTAAATATAAAGGATATCCGATCCTCAACCAGGAAGAATAACTCTTTCATTTATTATTAAATCCAAAAGGTCTAGAATAAAGTTTGGAATTGAAATCTTTTAATGCAACAATTTTCATTTTATGTCTTTCAATGTGGTTCAAGGTTATTTGAAGTTTTTTAGACATGATATTTTAAAAGTTTATATTTGTACCTCATAGAAGTAAGCAAAACTTGCATATTTAAAAAAATCGAAGTTCTTCTAATCTAGTCTTAGTTACCAATGTTTATTTGAATGATTTGATATAAGAAGTGTTTTATGGGTGTTTTCTATGATAAGAAACACTTCATACTCTAGGTGTTATAAAATGATGGATATAAATAGGAGAAACTAAAGTGCAACATAAGCATAAACATCACGCAATTTGCAGAAGGCGCATTTGGCCGTTAAGGAGTCAAAGTCTGAATACCTATGGTTTTTATTCCCTAAATATATTTGTTGATCAATTTTCAGTTAGAAAATATTCATTCGGTAGTTTTATTAACATTTCCTGGAAATTTATTTTAGATTTACTAATTTTCCCTATATAATATGATAAACTTTAAAGATGAAGATTTAAGAATGTTCTTGGGTATATACACATTTCTGTGATAGTTTAGAGACTTCTTCGTGAGAATTTTTAGTTTCTCAGTGTCTGATTTTCAGAACCTGGGGATCGGACTACCTTATCAATGTACTCTTATAAAGAAATAAAATTTTCTTTGTTGAAGTGTAACATAAAAATGGCAAATATTTATACATGTACTTGTAATTTTAGGTGCACGCGTACGATAATGTTATGTTTTGACACATCTAATTATAGAGGTATTTCCTGTATTTATGAACGTACATCTACATTTGACAATAACTGCGCCTTTTTCAAGATGCAAAATTGATTGCCTGAACACATAAAATATAAAATATCTCCTTTGTTTAACTCCTCGTGTTATAAATAAAATTTAAAATAGATCGTGCGATGCTTTATTTTTCCTTTCATATCCCCATTCCTAAACTAAAGATCATATCTGGATGAAACATTTGCAGTGTATTATTTGCCAGTAGGTTGTTTAACAGCTTCATTTGTATATTTACTTATTTCATATTCATTTCTATATTTGCCTATTTCATGTGGATTTTCATTTACATGTATTTGCCATTTGGGTTGCCAAAATCGCCCAATGTATTTGCCTATTTCATGTGGATTTTCATTAACATGTATTTGCCATTTGCCATTTGGGTTGCCAAAATCGCCCAATGTATTTGGGTCGGTATCCTTGGTTACGATTGTAACCAGTAACTAACTGTAATTGCTTATAACTGAAAATTGTAATGCTGCCATGGCCATTATCCGCCATTAAACTTTAAGAAATCTATATATGTGTGGTTTTCTCTAATATATATACTTGTAATTCTAGGTGCACGCGTACGATAATGTTATGTTTTGACACATCTAATAGAGGTATTTCCTGTATTTATGAACGTACATCTACATTTGACAATAACTGCGCCTTTTTCAAGATGCAAAATGATTGCCCACACATAAAATATAAAATACCTCCTTTGTTTAACTCCTCGTGTTATAAATAAAATTCAAAATAGATTGTGCGATGCTTTATTTTTCCTTTCATATCCCCATTCCTAAACTACAGATCATTTCTGTGTTAAATTTTGCTTATTCCATCCGAGGTTAAAGCAACCATAATTATTTACTCGCGTATACATTTTGGCTATTCTCTCCCCTTTTCTTAATTCTTTATTATGCTTTAAAACTTGACCTCAAAGAATTAATGAATGCATATGTCTTGGGAAATAAGTTTGATTTTGTTTTTGAATTGATGTTGAATTGAACTCTTAAAATTCTTTAAAAAGAAGGATATACTTGTACACAGGATTGCCTCTCTTTTCATGATATAGCTCTGTCTGTAAATTTCTATAATTGTACTTTCTACAAAATGTACCAATTATAGGAAAAAAATATATATTTGCTGTTATAAATCGTGTCTAGATGATTTCATTTTTTTCTATAAAGCAAAGTAAACTAATTTCTTGTTTAGTTTTAGTTTTAGTTCGAAATTACAGTGTTTTGTTTTTATTTTTTTAGAATATATCTGGAAGGGGTTGAAAAACTAAAATGAAGATGAAAACTTTAATATAAATGTTAATTGGAATATCAAAACATTTAAATAACATAATTAAACTAATTATAATGAAGTATGCCCCCTTTCCCTTAATAGTCTTCATTACTTCCGTACAATTTTAATATATATTGAGTTTCTTATTGTAAGCAGACAAAAATACATATTTCAAGCTGTGATGATATACATGGACAGAGATACTAATAGAGAGAGTACATAACTTTCTCGTCCAAAATATTGTAAATTTTTTTCATGATTGAAGGAAAAATAATTCTTACTTTAAAAA